TACAGAACTGGGGTGCAGGCCAGAGGTGCGGGGGTGTTGAGCGGATTCACCAGAGACATTGGGGAGCAGAGCAGGCAGATCTACGAAGTGCCTTGCTGAGGGGAGCAGCGGGGAGCCAGGAGAGGTCTGCCGCGCCCTGCGGGTCTGCTCCGGGGTGGGGATCAAACCCGCACTGCAGCGGCTGCGGCCAGCTTGCAGTGTTGCGTCCTAACCTCTTTCTCTCTCTCTCTTATTTTTTTTTAACATTTAAAAAATTTATTTATACATGTAAGAACTGGAACACAGGCCAGAAGTGCAGGAGGCGAGAGGACTCACCAGAGACAGAGGGGGGAGCAGAACAGGAGGATCTACTGAAACACACTGCTGCGGGGAGCAGCGGGAGACAGGAGAGTCTGCAGCGCCATGTGGGTCACTCCCTGGCGGGGGATCGAACTCAGGCCGTGGCGGCTGGTGACGGCTTGACACAGCGGGGACCCAACCCCTGCGCCACCGGGATGGCGCCCTCTCCCATTTCAAGCACACAGTTCAGTGGTTTTAGTATACTCCCCTTGCCATTCATGACCACAGTCCGTTTATCTTTTTTTTTTCCTTCTTACATTTCCCTCTTTTTAATGAAGAATACAAACAAAAATGGGGGGATGAAAAACAAACCAACCAAAAAATCGGGCTAAAGGGCAGTCCCCGGGCAGCCACCCCCCGCCCGCAGGCGCCCGCTCCCGCCTTACAGCTTTCCCGCCCCGGGCACCGGCTCACAGAGGGCAAGAGTCAGGCTGCCGCCGCCCCACAGCCTCACCCCTCTGGTTACTGGCCAGGGTCCTCGGGGGTGTGCGGTGGTCTCTCCCGGTCATTCCGATGGGCATTCGCTCCCCCACTCGTCCGTCCGAGGGCCAGTTCACCAAGCCCCGGCCGGCGGCCCTTCTCCCCGCCGCCCTTCTCTCTCAGCCACCCTCTTCCTGGCCCAAGGCGGCCCGGCACTCAGCTCTCAGGCCCTCAGCCAGCTGCTGGCCTATGGGCAGGGCTGCTGACCACCCCCCTCCCAGCCCTGGTCACAGCCAAGGTCACACAAAAGGCAGATGGGGCCTCCTGGTGGCCTGGCAGTTATGTCTCAGCGCTATCACCACTGTGGCCTGAGTTCGATCCCCCGCCAGGGAGTGACCCACAGGGCACAGCAGACTCTCCTGCCTCCCCGCTGCCCCCCTCAGCAGAGGCGTTCAGCCAGTCCCCCTGTTCTGCTCCCCACCCTCTCTGGTGAATCCTTCCCATATACCCTATTTCTTCTATGCCAAAAAAAAAAAAAAGATGATCATTTTCTTTTGGATTCTAGAGAGACCATGGGACAGCAAGACACCCTGGCCATTAGACTAGTCAAAAGGACCGAGTGAGGCTGGTCTGAGGCAGTGGGGGTCAGTGCCCTCCATGCCCTGGCCAGGGTGTAGCTGAGGGGCTGGGGGGCCAGCCGGGGGCTGCATCCTTCAGCAAGCAAACTACTCTCGCTGGTGGGGGCACAGGCGGGAGCTGGTGCCCGCAGCCTGCTCTTCTCCGGGCGGCCGCCCCCACTCCCGCCCTCCTGGCGACTCAGCCCTGGCTCCTCCTGGACTGAAACTACCCAGCGTCCAGTCATGAGCATTTGCTCAGAAAACAGGTGGTGGTGCTGGGGGTGGGGGGTGGCGGTAAACTGGGTAAAAGGGAGGCCACAATGGTGTTATAACCATTAAGGAAAAAAATCGTGAAAGGAAAGTAGAAGAGAGTGGGCGGAGTCAAGTCGCCCCCCCCCCCCACACCAGCTGTGTGGCCCAAGGGGAGCTCTGCTGGGCCCCACTTGTTCCAGCTCTAAAATGAGGTTTTCCAAAACCACAATCAGATACCATCTCATGCCTGTGAGAATGGCGCGCATTAAAGAGACTCCCAGCAAGTCAAGACACCCCAGTAAGCGCAGGAAAGGGCTGGAGAACGGCTCTGATGAGCGGCTCTAAAGGGTGCGGCCTTTCTGGAAGCCGGCTGGATTTACCTTGACAAGGTCCAAGTGGAGACACCGTAGGATCCAGCAACCTCACTTTTGTACCCGAGAACGTGAATTCAGCAACTCGGAGGCTGTGTGGGCCGACCCACCACCGCCGACCGCGTGTGCCGGCCGGGAGGCCTCTCAGTGCCGGCCAACGCGCCCATTACCGCAGCGTGGAGGAACAACGGGGTGGGGGTGGGGTGGCGCCAAGTAAGCCGAAGATACAGCCGCACTGGGTGACTTCACATGCACAGCGGGAGAAGGAAACAAACCCAAGGAATGACAGCAGGACATAACGGGGTGGCCCACCGGAGCTTCGAAGGTAAGAGGGAAGGCGGGGAGGGGGAGGGATGGGGGTAAGGAAATAAATGGGTGTTCACAACGGCGGCCGAGCGTTAAGGGGACCATAATAAAGACAATTTTCAGCGACCACGGGGTGTTTGTTGGACACTGACCACCTGGTAGGCACTGCGGCTGCTTCCCTAACCTCAGTTACCCTCTCTGTGAGGGGTCATTCACTCTCAGGATGCCCCCCGCCCCCCAAAATAAGACAGGGTTAGCGGAGTCGAGTTCAGAGCTCACTTCGGACAGCTTCCTACTCTGTCTGCCTTCAGGAGATGGCTCTCTCGCTCTCTCCCCTCCTTCCTGCCCCTCCCTCGCTCCCTCCCACTCTCCCACCCCCCTGCTAAGGGGCCTGGGACTAGGGACCCCACCCAGCCTGCCAGCAGCTCCCCTCACGCCCCGCCCCCACATCCCTGCCTGGCCTGTCAGAGAACTGCCAGCCTTGGGGGGGGGGAGTGGAAGGCATCGGGCTCAGTGCAGGCCGGAGCAGAAAGGGCAGCTGTAGTGGCCCTGGTCGTGGGTGTGCAGATAGCTGTGTCTCTATACTACATAGGGTTTTCTGCTTCCAAGAGGTGTCCCACGGAAATCACTGTGATTGTGGGCGTCTGGTGGAGTTCGTACAGGGAGTTTTACTAGAAAAGCGTCGCCATCTGGGCCTGCCTGCCGTGGCTCAATCCACGGGTCTGACTTGACACAAGCATTCCCGCTCCGTGCCCAGCAGACACCGGGTTTCTGCTCCCTCCAGAGAAGAGGCGTTAGCTATTCCACAGCATCCACCCACCTCAGCACAGGGCCAGGCTTGGGGCATCCCTAAGGAGATTCCCCAGAACACTCTCCCCACCCCCAGATGAGTCAGAATTCAGCATGTCCCTGGGCATCCCTGGTAGCCTGGGGTAAGTATCAGCTATCACCCTTAGGCCCACAGGGCGCAGCAGACCTCTCCTGGCTCCTCACTGCTCCCCGCAGCAGTGCATTTCAGTACATCTGCCTGTTCTGCTCCCCGCTCTGCCTCTGGTGAGTCCTCTCACCGTTTCCTGCCCCCCACACCAGGCCTCTGCCCTACACCCCAGTTCTTCTATATGCACACACAGGAATTCAGTGTATCCCTGTCCCCCACGCCCCTGCTCACCTTTGGAAGGAAGGGGCCATCCTTGCACAAACTGGAGCAGGAGGAGGAAGACAGCTGCAGGGGAGAAAGGTGTGAGCATGGGGGACCCCCGCGAGTAGGCATAGCAGGAGGTGGGGAGCAGCACCTGAGATAGCAAGGACTCCCAGCTGATTCAGCCTGACGTGCATTCAGCTGTCTGGGGTGGCACCACCAGGAAGCACCTGCAAGCCTGCCTTCCGGAAGTGACCGGCACAGACACTGCCTCTCGATGCCTAAGTATGAGGCAGGTTGGTGCAGAAGCATCTGGTCCCGTGCATAGGTGAATTTCTAAGTGACCATTGTGTGTTCCCTCTGAGAATGGGGGGGGGGGGCGCTCAGAGAGAGGCACCTGAAAACCAATGAAAATTCGAAGTGTTTTGGGGATGAATGTGTTCATGCGGGGCTCACCCGTCTCCCCTGCTCACTGAAACTGCACCTTTGGTGGGTGTCGGCGTCTCAGGGACCCCGGCAGGAAACTCTGCTCCTTCAGAGACCTCCCATTGCTGTCTAAGCTGTGCAACCCCTTGAGGCCGGATGGAGGGCTGGCCTATGGGACTGCACCCTAGCCTGGAGGGGCCTGTACTGACTCTGGGGGTGCGCGTCAGAACCGCCCCTCGGCACCAAATTACCTTTTCTTCTGAAATCGTGGCCAGGCAGGCATCTCATGGCGTCGCTCATTTAGCCATTGCCGAGTGGGCAGCCCAGCAGCATGGAGTTACGTCCGCCACGTCTGTTGAAGTCACCCATAATATTTCCAGAACATTCTCACCATTCTATTTTTTTTTAGATTTATTTATGCATACAGGAACTGGCGTACAGGCCAGAAGTGCAGGGGGTGAGAGGACTCACCAGAGATATTCCCATCATTCTAAACTGAAACTCCATCCCCTCACATCACCAAGTTACCGCTTGTCCCCACAAAGGCAGGAGCCTCTTCCCTGAGAATGCGCTAATGTTGAGACATAGCTCACCACCAGGCCCACGTTTTTTCCACTCTTTCCTTTTTACTTTGTTGGTTTTTTTTTTTTTTTTGTATTTTCGTTTTCATACACACACACACACACTTTTTTTTTTTTTTTTAAGATTTATTTATTTATTTGTACAGAACTGGGGTACAGGCCAGAGATGCGGAGGGTGAGAGGATTCACCAGAGACAAAGTGGGGAACAGAACAGGCAGATGACGAAGTCCACTGCTGAGGGGAGCAGCGGGCGGGTCAGGAGAGGTCTGCCACGCCATGTGGTCACCTCCGGGGCAGGTGGGAATCGAACTCATGTGGAAGTGGCTTTAGTTTCTTAGTGCTGTGCTTTAACCCGCTGCGCCACCAGGGAGGGCCACACACACACACTTTTTAAAAAAATCTATTTATTTATGCATAGAAGAAGATTCACCAGAGACAGAGCAGGTAGCAGAACTGGCAGATCTCCTGAAATCCACTGCTGAGGGGAGCAGCGGGAGACAGGAGAGGTCTGCTGCGCCCTATGGGTCACCTCCCTAGCCAGCCAGGCGGAACCCAGACCCCACCCAGACCCCAGGAGCAGCAGTGACAGCGAGGAGACTTAAGCCCTGGGCCTGGGAGGCCCCTGCAGTAAGCCGCATTCTGTGCTTAATCACCCCCTTCCCCACCCCTCTCTGTGGGGGCGGGACCTGGGAGCTTGGGCCTGTGGAAAGGCATCTGGGCCTCCAGGCGCACACTGGGGGCTAATTAGCGCCTGCTGCCGCTGTAGTGGGCACACGTGTGCCGCCTTCCACCATGGCGCCCTCAGTGGCCGCTGGGGCTGTGTCTGCGCCGCCCTGGCCTGCACTCCCGCTTCGCCCGGGCTGGGAAGTCGCCGCGTAGGTTTGCCGTCCAGGATCATTTGTGAGTTCACTCTAAAGTTCTTCTTTCTGGTGTAGAGCTTTTTATGGAGTCAGGCCTGGCGCCACCTGGCTTTTCTTTGGTTTCTTCCAGGAGGGGGATGGGAGCCTTCAGGGTACACAGGGCTCCCTCCAATTGCCTGGTTCCCCACTTCCCAGTTGGGTCAGCCGAGTTCCCACTGCCCCGGTTGGGCCCAGGCCCACCCTGGTGTCCCGGAAATTCCTCTAGGGAAGTTCACCTTGGCCAGGGTTTCCCTCCACTGGTTTGGGGAGCTGACCCCCAGCCCCCACCCCTGCAAGCTGCCCCTGACCTCCTCCCTTACCCCGTCAGGGGCGGGAGCTCCTTGGGGATGTCTTGGAACTGCATAGCTGGTTTGAAGCTTCGGCGTTGCTTCTAGGAGTCCATTTCAGTGGTTTTCAGTATTCTCACGGGAGAGGGCGATTCCAGCCTGTTGAGGCGCCAGGTTGTAGATGGGGTCCTGATTGGCTCATGTATGTGTGTTTTTCCACAAATACCATGTAAGCATCTGCTCTGGGCCTGCCCTCCCCCTGCTCCCAGATGGTAATGGCCCTGGAGTGTTTGGAGATGAGCTGGGGGAGCCCACGGGAAAGGTGGGCCCCTCTGAGGCAGTCAGGAAGGGCTTTCTGCCAGAAGAGGCATCTCAGTCAGGAACTGAACACTCAGGGTGAGCATGGAAAAGAGCAAGTATTGCAGGCAGAGGACGCAGCATATGCAAAGGCCCCGTGGCCTCAGAGAGAAAGGGGGTGTGAGCGCTAAAGAGTCGATTTGGAAACAACCAGAGAATCAGTGATGGGGTACATCATGTTGTGCCTTGGGGTTATTTTAAAGAGTTAGGATTGTCTCCGTGGACAGGTAGAGCGCGTGCTGGGGTTTTCTGCAGGACAGGACCTTGGCTTCGGTGCATTTTTATTTTCTTGACCCATCACTCCCTGGTGTGCACAAAAATGGAGGGAAAGGTCTGGGACAAGAAACTGCCTGGAGACCGACAAACTGGGCTGGCAGGTGTCAGATCCCATGAATAACCAAGTCACTAATCAGATAAATATCAAGAGGATCCTAGGTGAAAACCCCCGCTCCACGCATATTGTGTGTGAACATGAGTTCTTGTAATCAAATGGTTTTTGTATTCTCAGTTTAAAGATTATAGAATGAAACCGTTCTGTAAGGTGTATCATAAAAAGACAGCAATTCCCAGTTCCACCTACCCGCCCTGACCCCTTCGGTCATGTTTCTCTGGGTGCTTACCCTGCCCTGCCTCAGTTTCTTTTCAGGCAGCTTCCTGAGTTGTAAGACCACTGTAAAGCTCTAAGTGCACAGTTTGGGTGTGCAGGCACCTGTGAAATAATCACTGTAGTGACAGTGAACACACCTCATCGCCCCCAGTTTGCTCCAGCCCCAGAGAGCTGCCGACCAGCTTGCTCTCAGTACCAGGCCCAGAGTGAGGTCACCAGGCCCGCACCGGGGGCTTCCTGCAGCACACGTAGCTGTGACGGACGGTGCCCTGCGAGCTGAGCAGTCACGGGTGGGCGGGCCGGCCCTCCTTGACTCCGGAGCCTCTTCCCACTCTAGCCGTGGACCTTCTCTCTGTCTTGAAGTTTGTTTTTTTATATGAAATTCATATCATGTGCAGTTAACTGTTGGATAGTGAACAGTTCTAAACATCTGAGACGGTCACTGTATGTATCTAGTTCCAAAACATTTTCATTACCCCAAAGGGCAAATTAGTTTCCATGAAGTCATCACTCCCATGCCCACCCCCGCCAGCCCCTGGCAGCTACCAACCTTTCTGTCTTTGTGAACTTGCCTAGGTTTTCTGGACATTTCAGATAAATGGAAATTAGATGGTACCTGGCCTTTCTATCTGGCTTCTCTTGCTCAACATGTTTTTGAAATGAACACTGGTGTCAATACTTTGCTTTTGTGTGTATAATATTCCATTGTGCTGAAAGACTGTTTTGTTTATTTGCTCCTCTGTTGTTGAACCGTGGGGGCTGTTTCTACCTCTTGGCTATTGTGATTCGTGGAGGACGAACATGTGTATAACTTGCATTTTTCGGCTTTGTGTCTCCACCTGGATGGCTGGTAGAAATGTAAAATGGTGCCGTCACTGAGGAAGCAGTTAAACACCCCCAGAAGCCTCACTTGGCCCCTTCCAGCCACTGTGTCCCCAAGGGGTAACCAGTGCCTCGATGTGTACCGCCGCAGACTGCCTGTTCGGGGGCTTCCTGTGAATGGAATCACATACTCTGTGTCCTTGCCGGTTATACGTGTGACGTCGTCATGCTGTGGTTCTCACTGCTGTTGCGTGTTTCATGTGTGGCTTTATTTAAACCAGCCCTACAATGGCAGCCACGTGCGTCGGTTTCTTCATCCTTTGTTCATAGCTCAGCAGTGGATGTGCACATCAGACTTCTGCAGGTTCCACCCAGGAGCTGACTCACGCGGTTCCGGTGCTGAGCTCCAGTAGTTGCGGGCAGCCTGTTTTGAGAGTGGGTGTTCAATTCCTATCACGGCCTGGATGTATTTCAACAGTTAGGATGTCTGGGGTTTTCATTGCAGCCACTTCGGGATGGATGTTACAGGGCAGGGAGAGGGGCACCCCAGAACCCCCAAACCTGCCGGCTCTAAATAGGCTCTGCCATCCGCCGCATCAAGACATAAAGTCCCTTAGTGGAAAGGAACCACAGTTGGTAGCAGGGTCTGGTAGGATGCTCCGACAGATCTCAGGCAATTCAACGAGTGACACCGGGCTTCTCTGGGGCCTCAACTAGTCAGACTCAACCCACGTGAATTTTAGCGTCAATTTGCTAATTGACACACAACACGCAGCTGAACATCTTCATAACACTGACCTCGTCGTGTCTACAGGTCCCAACATTCGCATATCCTGAACATACACACTCCTGTTTTCATCCCCAGATTCAGCCGGTGGGCAGAGAGATCAGAGATGCCTTGATAATGTGAAATGAGAGCCCACAGGCTGGGCCGGGGCGTCTGCGTGAGCAGTGATACACCCTAGCGAAGGTGTCAGGAGGGCAGGCAACAGGCATGCCACTTAGGACTGAAGGCTGCCAGTAAACAGTCAAAATGAAAATTTTTAAATCACTTGCAAGAATTGGGGGAGGAAAGGGAAAGAGACCAAATAGGTGATCCGTGCTTAGAGCTGTGGAGGTGGGCGGCCGTGGAAAATCAAGTCAATACATTTTAAAAATTCAATTTAGTAAACCAAGAGGAATTAGCTTGTTGTTGGAACCATAGGGTTGAGGTGGTAGACACGAAGGCCGGAAAGAGCAAAGGTGGGTGACCTGGGGGGTAGGGCTGGAGGTGGGGAAAGGACTTGTTTTCCAGCCTAGCCCACACCCCGTCAGCCAAGTGACCCCGAACCCCTTGTGCACGCGGTTCTCCGCACTAGGGGGGAGCACAGGTAAGTGGGTCCACCCAGCCGTGCGTGGGTGCTTGCGGGCGCCGGGGTGTGAAACTGTTTTCCGGAGCCCGCCTGCACACGGCGGGAGGCTGGCTCTCTCCATCGCGGGGGATCTGTGGCTTACACGCTCAGATGCAGCTGGGGACCCCAAGCCCACCGCCCCTGTCCCTGAGGATTAGTGATTAGGTCAGGGCGTTGTCTCTGGAGCCGCCTGCAGGAGCCCCTGAGCCCAGCGTGAGCTCTGGCCCGGAGTTGGGCTGTCGCGCTGCCTTCGCGGTGGGCGGCGGCAGTGGCAGCCAGGTTGACACCTGCCCGGACGTGTGACCCCCAGAAGTGCAGCCCCCACGCAGGACCTCCCGTTCAGGGCATGTCTCCCCCTCCACTCGCCAGAATTTTCTGGACGCTTTCGAAGTTGCCGCCCGGTTCTCTGGAGGCGCCCCTCCGCGGCGCCCGTGATCCCCACGGGCCCGCCGCGCCCCCCGCGGCCCGCAGAGCGGCCTGACGCGTGTGTCCCCCGCAGTGTACCACTGGGCGGAGATGCGCACCAAGATGCGTCTCCTGGGCTTCAAGTCGGAAGCCGTGAAGCCGCTGAACGAGGACTCAGCGGCCGAGCTGGGCGCGGAGCTGCTGGGCGAGCTCACCATCTTCATGGTGGCCTGCAGCTGCCTGGTGCTGGAGTACCGGCGCCAGCAGGCCAACCACCGGCGCAAGGTGAAGGAGCGGCGCGCCGCCTGGAGCTCGCTGCGGGACGAGGTGGACCACCTGGCGCTGGCGCTCGAGGCGCTGCAGGCGCAGATGCAGGCGCTGGCGCCGCCGCCCGGCGCGCTGGAGGAGCTGCAGGCGCAGATGCGGGACGTGCGCGCCCAGCTCGGCGCCCTGAGCGCGCCGCCCGCGGCACCCAAGTTGGAGGAATGAGAGCGCGCCGCGTCCGTCCGGCTCCGGCGAGCCTGCGGTCGGGCTGCGCGTCTGACGTGGCCTCCACCACAGCCCCTTCCTGAGCTGGCCCCGAGCAGGCCTTCCGGGTCCGGCCTGGGGCTGACGCAGCCAGGCTTCGGCCACCTCCCTAGCAACCCCCTCGACAGGCACCGGACCCCTGCCTCCCTGCCCCCCGCCAGGTTTAGTCCCTGGAACTGGAAAAGCAGGGTCAGCCATTCACCCGCAGCACACCTGGGCTCCTGGCTTCAGTCACTCACCACATTCACCCGTGGGTGGCCTTCCCTAGGGACCCTCAGCCATCACACCAGGACACCCAGTGTCCCTTCATTGGTTAAGGCCATAGCAGTGAACAGACTCTGGCAGAACCCCCAGCCCCCCCAGGGAAGATGGAAGAGCATTGGCTCCAGTGAGGCACCCTGGGGCTCCTGCCTTTAGCCCGCCCTTGGCATCCCAACTGGGGACCTCCCCTCCTTAAAGAGGAGCCTCCCACCCTCAGAGCCTCAACCTCAACGCGTTAGTCTTTGCACATCCTCTGAGCCAAAGTCTGTGGCGCCTTCTGGGTCACTGTCCTGCAGCCATCTTCATCCAGACCTGCCTCTGGTTGATCCCCCAGTTCCATGGGGCCTCCTCCCTTGGGACCACCTGCCCCTCAGCCTGGAAGTTCCCCAGCCCCATTCCAGTGGAACATTCCACCAGGCAGAGTTCCCCACTCCTGGCCAACCCACTGAACTCCTGAGGGGGGTGTGTGAGCTCTGTGACTTCTGAATTCTACTTTTTTTTAGTTTGTAAATGTTTCGTAATTAAAGGAGCTCTGAGGCAAACAAGTCACTTTAAGGAAGTGTCTCAGCACCGTGGTATAATCTGCAAAATGGGCACAAGGCTTACTCAAGTCAGGAGAGAAGGGGGAAAGTGCGGAGTCCTCTGGGAGATGGGGTGCTGAGTGAGGGGCTGCCCCCTTTGTGTGGCAGGGTCCGGAGGAGTGAAGGAAATGCCTGGGGTGGGAGGGAGCAGGGGGAAGGCCACCAGGCTGCCGGCAGCAGCTTGAGGAAAACAGAGCAGGCACAGGGTACAGGAAGAGGGCAACAGGGTAACTCGAGGGACAGAGGGACACCCCCTCCCCAGTCCTCAGCTACAGTCCTCCAAATCACTCCAGCAATCTTAGCATTTATAAAAACTGGCAGATTTATTCCTCAGGGGCCCATTTTCAGAAGCTAATGGTGAAGGTGGGCGAGGGGAGCTGTCCTCCCCTTTTCCTTTCTCCCTCATCTTATTTTCCCTAGGGGGTAAAAATGGTCTGGACCCCAAAACCTCGCCAAATAAAAAACAAAAACAAAAACAAAAACAAAAAACTGAGGTTCCAAAAGTTACAGCATCTTAATTCCTTATAGAAAAGGGGAAGGAGCTAGCTGGAAGGGAAGTCCCTGGGGTAGGGGGAGGCACCCCCAGCCTGTGGGACATCCCCCCCTTTAAATAGCTGCCCTAAATAGGACAAGCCTGGGGCTATAGCATTTAAAACCCCCCAAAACCCCATTTTATCAAAACCAAAGAGAAAAACAATTTCCCTTTCCCCCCAAACCCAAATATATATATATTTTTTTCTTTAAAAAAAAAAATTCGAAGGCATAAGCGTTAAAGTGAATCTAGAACAAGGGAATGTGAATTCCCTCCTTCCTTCCCCCTCACTGTGGGGTTAATTGGTACATCCCCAGCAAAGGAACCAGCCCCAAGGGGATGGCAGAGGGGAAAGACCAAAGGGAGCAAAGGGTGGGGGCCTCCCCAGCCAATCAGCAGCCAATGTGGGTGTAGGCCTGGTGCCAGGGGAGCCACACCCCCTTGGAATTGTCCAAGTGGGTGGGGAGTGGGGAAGATGCATTCCTGTGTTGTCTTCAGCCAATTCCAAGTCAAGTGGAGGCAGGGAAAGCAGAGTGACAGGCCAGGTGCAGAAAGAAGAACCGGGATCTTCCGGGGTCCTGTGGTCAGGGGGAACCCCGCTTCCTCAGCTCTTGGACAAAGGCTGGAAGGAAACAAGGGACAGGAGTCAGGGTTAGAGCCTCTCCCCCTTTCATCCAAAACAGAACTCTTCGAGGAACATCATGCCTCGGAAATAAGTATTTAAAATTAAAAAGCAACCTCACCTTCAATTATTTCGTCTTTCATTTTCTGCAATTCCTTCCTCACCTCTTCCAGAAGCTCCTGAAAATAATGGGTTGTAAACACCCAGAAGTGTGCCTGCACATGTAGCAGCAAATCCCCCTACTTAATGGCAAGAGAGGCAGAGGAAGCAGGTTCAAGACTCCAAAGCAGACGCACATACTTCATGACATCAATGACAAGGCCAAACTGACTGGACCATTCTAGAGGAGAACTCTGGAACCTTGCTGTCAGAAGGCAAGGACTGGAGAACATCCAGTACCAGGGTTGGCAAATACATTACAGTCTCCTGCCAACTGGTGATGGATATTCAGGACCAGTGTGCTGAAAGGGATTCTGGGTGCTCAGCATGAATGTGGGTGGTGATAGATTAGTAATGTCTGTCATGGTCACTGAAAAAGTTGGTTGTGGCAGCTGCGTCATCCCGGACCTGACCTTGTGTCTCCATTTCTCAGACTGGCAAAAGGCCTTTTTTTGATTCACACACCTGATTAGTGGTAGAGTCTAGAACCTGATGTCTTTTCTTCCTCTGGCTTCTGTCTAGCCCCCAACCTCACAACCCAAACCACCTCTCCAAGTTACCTGCTTCACCCTCTCTAGGTCTGACTCATCATTGGAACTTGGCGTAGAGGGGTGGGCCTCGGAAGTAATCACTGAAGATGACTTCATCCTGGGAGATGGTGTGATTGCACAGAAATGAGGTTAGAGGGCATGCCCCTCCCCCCACCTGCTTCCCATTCCAAATATCACTTTGTGTTCTATCCTACAAATCGGGTAGATCCAACTACTCTGGGGAAGTGAGTTCCCAGTAATGATGGCCCACCTTGGCAAAGTTGTGCTGTTCTTCTCCCAGGGTCTCCGCACAGATTCTGCGGGATGGTAATAGATCGGAAAGATCAGAGACCTGGTATGTCTGGTCTCCATCTTTCTCCCAGTACTCAGCCCCTATTCAAAGAACCATGCCAGTAGAATACAACCCCTAGTGTTGTATGTGCAAGTTCTCCCATAAGCTGTTTATGTGTGAGAACAGGGCATCTTGGGACTTGCCATTCCTATGGCTAAGAACAGCTGTCACTCACCACTGTGGACTGGGACTCTGGCCTCTGGCTCCTCCTGCTGGTGGGAAATAAAACTGTCAGGAGCAGGAAACTGCCAGTGTTCTGGCCCATTTTCATTTCCAGGCTCAAACCACCTCCATCCCTGTCATACCCTCCCTAAATAGCCCCCTGGAATGGTGGGGCCTGAGGTGAAGGTGATAGTAAGGGCCACAAACTCACATTGGCAGATTCATCCTTGGGGGGTTTTTCCCCAACTTGCGTGGCTTTCCTTCTGCAAAAAGAAAAAAGCAAAAACGTGGCTTTCAGCCTCCATTAGCTGCTCAGCAGCAGTTTCCTTACCCATAACTCTAGAAAGGTGAGTGCCAGGGTGTTGACTTCCAGAATTTGTGGAGGCTACAGAAAGTTTTGTGTTTTAGAAGTTAAATAGAGGGATGTTCTCCATTTGGGGTGGTCCCCCCATGCATTCTCACATTTGGGATCACAACATCCCAAGGGCGGAGGGCCATGTCTTAAATATTCTCAGAACCTGAGTGTCCAGATTTGGAGGCAGGATCTCCTAAGAATCTAGAATTCGGGTCTTAGAACATTTGTTTTAAGATTTATGCATTTATGCAATGTATGCTTACAGAACTGGAGTACAGGCCAGAGGTGCAGGGGTGGTGAGAGGATTCACCAGAGACAGTGTGGGGAGCAGAACAGGCAGATGAACAAAGTACACTGCTGAGGGGAGCAGTGGGGAGACAGGTGAGGTCTGTTGCGCCATGGGGGTCAGCTCCCTGGCAGGGGATTGAACTCACACTAAAGCTTAGTGCTGTGCTTTGGCCCATTGCGCCACCAGCGAGGGCCATCTTAGAACATTCTAGATGTGACCTAAGTGGCTCAAAACCTCAGTGATCTCAGGAGAATGCAATCCTCTCAACCCTGGCTACCACAGGGGAACTTTCACCTTAAAAAACAAACTGGGAATCCTCCCCCACCGGGCCCTACTGAACCGGAATCTCCAGGTCAGAAGTGCTGGTCAGAGGGGGTTTCCCTGACTGTCCAAGGGCAGGGGCTCACCTCCGAGCCAGCATGGCGTTCATCTCTTCCATGAGCCCCCCTCCAGTGCTTCGACTGCTCTCAGCTTTGGGGGCTGAGGGGCCCCCTGAGGCCTCCTCCTATTGGGTAATTACAGAAGGGGCTTTATCAATCGGCCAGCCTCCTGCCCCCCCAGCCCCGCTGTGATGCCCTCAGGCAACTCCAGCCTCCTCCCACTATTCCATCAGGCCCAGTCACCTGACACATCTGACCCCTCACCTTGCTAACTTTCCTGAGTTTGGCTCCAGCAATGGCGGCAGCCAGGCCAGGTGCTCCAGCCCCTCCTGCACTCGGGCCTTGTGCTGTGGGAAGAGGGGGTGCAGGGGGTGGGCCACCCGCTGCTGCCTGGCCTGTAGCCGGTGCTCCTGAGGAGGACAAGCCTGGAGGTGGGGGGGGCCCAGGGGGAGGAGGAGGTCCTGGAGGTGGAGGTGGTCCCCCACCAGTTGGGGGAGCAGGTGGACCTGTGAAACAAACAAAATAAAAGGGGTGCTTAGAAGCCTCATTCTTGCAATCCTGAAGGCTTAACCCCCCGGGGCTTCCCAACCACCCCAAGCCACTGGGTCATCACCTGCATTGGAGACCCGACGCTCACGCTCCACGTACTCAGCCTGCCCCGGCTGCTGCCTGAAGAGAGCGATGGAGCTGCCATCACTTGGGGTTCCCAGGATGGCTTCTCTCAGAGGTCCCCACTGAGGCTGCTCCTAACCCTCACCCATGCCTGCTTTCCTGCGGGGCAGGGAAAGGGGTGTGGAGGCGGGCAGGGACAGCGGGAGACCACGATGGCAGCATTCTGGTCAGTAGCACCAAGCCACAAAAGCCCAAGATCCTTAAACAGCCAGATTTTGGGATCTGGGGGACCAGGGCTTGGGAGGTGAGGAAGAACTGAAACTCTGGGGGTTTCTCAAAGGCCAAGAGGGAGTGAGTGTCTGAAACCTGTCTGTTTCTAGCCCTGTGGGAGATGGAACATTCTAAAAACTGGAAGTGTAGGACCACTGAACTCCAGGGTCAGGGCTTCTGGAACATCCCAGAACTCTGGCCCAGGCAAGTTGCCACCCATCCCCCCAACATCCCCAAATGGCCTCACCTTTTCTGCTGCTCCACCTCCTCCGGGGAGGGGCCGTTCTGGACAGGCCAGGTGGGAGGGGCAGGTGGGAGAGGCCCACCTCCTGGAAGGTGAGAGTAATGAGTCAAGCCAGCAGGCTGCCCTGACCTAGAACATTCCCTCACTCTCTCTGGCCTCCCAGGGATCCAGGCGCTCATGTCCTCCTTCCAGGAGGAACTGACACGAGCGGAGGTACGAGCACCTAGACCAGCCAGCCTCCCTGACCAAGAGGCCGCCGAGGGGTGGGCACTGTGACGATGCCCAAGTGACAGGTGGGACAGCGAAGACCCAGAAGGGGCTGAGTCCTCAAGTCTGGGCTTTATGGGGGCAAGCGTGGGACGGCAGCTACCTCAACATCCAGACTGCGCCCCGCAGACCCAGCCCAGAGCTCAGGAGGCCGTGCGGCTCCTCCTCACCGCCAGCCTCCTGCTCCAGGGCCGCGCCCCGCTGCCGCCTTTCCCCATGCGTCCCCAGACAGCAGGCCTCTCCCCCCAGGAGGCAAACACCCTTCCATTGGTGCCGTGAAGTCCTACAGCCTCACCCAGCTGGGCTGCTGAGGACACCCAGCCTGACTCCTCCAAGGCTGGCAGGGGCAGCCTGGCATCACTGGGTGGTTAGAAATGCAGAGGCTCGGGCCCCAGCTCAGCAGAACCAGGGCCTGTGTTTTACCTGGATGAAGGATGAGCATGTTTAAGAAAAACCAAATGCAGGTTTTTCCCCCTTAACATCGATGCTTGAAAACGAATGATGACATGTCATCAGTTACGTAACCCAAGGGCACAGGGAGCCTTGTGGGGGCTGGAGATATCTATAGTTTGACTGGGAGGCGCCCCACGCGAGAGAGCGCATGTGGAAGTGGATGGAGCAGACGGCACCCTTTGGGGTCCCGCCTTTTCTGTGTGGGTGCACACACAGGGAACACAGGAACCCACAATCCTCACAGTAACCGGCTGTGGGGCAATGCGGTAGCCCGTTTTACAGATGAGCACACTGAGGCCACACAGTGAACCGCCACCGCGCCGCCACTGGGCTCTGCGGTGCCCACTGCCCGCTGGCGCTCACCTTCCAGGGCCTCTAGGGCACTGGCCATGCCTGCCGCAAACTGGGCTGCATCCTCCTTGCTGCCAAAGTTGAGGCCCCAGACTTGGCGGGCGTCGCGCCACTGATGGAAGTTGGGGGTGGCCTGGTTGTACTTGACACCCCGGACAATGGCACAGTTGATGACCACCTGGGAGGAGGGGGAAAGGGGCAGTGAGGGGTGCTGTTTGCAGCGGTGAGGAGCCAGCTCGGCCCAAAGCCATGGCGGGAGAGGAGCTTCACCTGCTGGTCTGGCTGCAGCTTCCGGCCAACCACCCGGAAGGAGTTGGCTGCAGGGTTGTGGTAGATCTGGACCCGGCTGAAGACCTGGGGGCCTGTGCCGGCGGGCAGCCACCGCTTGTTGCTGTCATCGTAGAGCATCACAGTGGCCCGGCTGGAGCAGACCACTGTCTCACTGCCGGAACAGGAGAGGAGAGACCCGTCAGCCCGGGGCCCCACCCTTTCTTCCTCTGGTGCCCCTGGGAGAATGGAGGTGACAGAAAGTGTGATCTGGAGAGATGGCCATGGTGGGGTGGGGGTGGGGGATGTCAACCCAGATGGGAGAGACAGAAAGAGACAATCAGGATGCCGGACAGAGGAAAGAGGCGGATGCGGAGACAGACAGACTGACATGGAGAAAGAGGCGGGAAGAGGCAGACTGACAAAAGCAGACCCAGAGCGGCGGGGGGAGGGAGATGGAGGCAGAGCGTAGGGGCGGCCAGGAGCCCGGGGTGGCACCCACCGGCTCTCCCAGGCTCGGGTCCCACACTTCCCCACTTGGTCCTCAGAGGAGGAAGCTGAAGCTGGCGGGGAGGGGCAGGGTGAGGTCTGCGGCAAGTTGGGGACCGATGCTAGGTCCAGCTCCCCACTTCCTGCGGTCCCCTTCTCTGCCCCCCCATGAACTAAGGGCTATCGCAGACACGCCCTGTGTCCAGCCCAAGTCCAGCAGCGACGCTGCCGCCCTGCCCTCAGTCCAGCGCAGGAGACAGCCCCATCCCACGGCAGCCCAGGCCAGCGCCAGGGAGACTTTCGGTGGAGGTGACAGCTCTCTCAGCCCTGCAGGTGGGTCAGCAGACTGGCTCAGCACAGACTGGCACATAAACCATCCATACACCTGGAGGTGCAAGTTCCTGCTGGCCACCCACCCCATGTGACTCGGGCAAGCGACGCCCCACCAGGTACTATGTGACAGTCCCAGCGGTCGGGCGTCTGTCCGTCAGCCACAGGGCGGCCGGAGGAGTAAACGAGTTCAGGTACTAAAAGCACTTGGCATGGTGCCTGGGAACTGTCAGCATCCCTTTCACCAGCACCCTGGAAACATAACCATGGGGGGGCCCCCCCCGCAAAGCCACAGTTTCAATGCCCCCATCCCCAATGAGGAAACTGGGGCTCCCAGATGGGAAGTGACTTGCCCAAGGTCACATACACCAGGGGGAAGTGCTAATCTCCGCCCCACCCCCACCAGACTTTTTCCTGAAAAGAGGAAGTTGGTGGTTAGGGGTTTCCGGGAGAAAAATAATCCCCAGTTAGATTGCTGTCTCTAGCCGGGCTGGGGGCTGGGGTATGATGCTGATGCTGTGAAACGCAGCATGGGGAAAGCCCCGGAGCAGGCCAGGCTGCTGGGGTGCTAAGCCCCTGACCCCCTCCCCCAATTTACATAATTGTGCCATCTCATTTCAGCACCCTTACACCCTTATTCTCACTGCAGCCCTTTGACACAGGCACTATTTCACCCTCATTTTGCAAAGACAGCAATGGAGGCCCAGAAAGATTGAGGGACTTGCCTGCGGTCACACAGCTAGGAAGTACACAGAAGGAGAACTTGAGCCCAGGTCACTTGGCTCCCAAGTCTTAACCACCCTGGACTGTGTGGGCTCTACCCAAACACCAGGTGCTATTTATTTCCAGACAAGCGAGGCCTGGGGGGCTGTTTCCGGCTCCCTCTGGAGGGCAGGGTTAAGGCCTCGCCCACACCTGCCACCCACACCCAGGGCAGACTCTGGCCAGATGCCCAGGCCTGTTGCTACCCCACCCTGGCTGTACTTTGCTCTCGCAGGCAGCCCTGCCCTGCCTGGCCAGAGAGCTGGGAGCCTGCGGAGTGACCCTCAGGTGGTCCAGCCCCTCTCCAGCCACGGCATCTCCAGCAGAATCTGGTTAAGTACAAGTCAGATCATGTCCCTCCAGATCCCTCCTCTTCTTGGACGGTCCCGTGGCTGCCACAGAGTAACAGCTCAATTCTCTCCACAGCCTTAGTGATCGGTGTGATCTCTATCTCATCCCTCCCTTCCCTGCTATTCCTTCAAGCCAGACACATGCCTGCCTGGGGCCGGTGCACTTGTTCTTTCTCGACTGGGATTTTCACCTCTTTTAGGTCTGTTTAAAGGTCACCTCTTCCAGGAAGCCCTCCCTGATCCCATGTCCCACATTTCATAGCAGCAAAAATGTCAAGAACTTGAGAGCAGAGATTTTTTTTGTCCTTTCTATCTTCTGCTATGTCCCCAAAACCTAGGATAGTACCCAGCACACAGTAGTTTTTAAATTCAACCTGTAAAAAAAAAAAAAAGCCACAGCAGCTGGTCTTGATGGGTTACCCTGTGCCCCAGACACTGTTCTAGGAACTGAACTCCAATTTCCACACTGAACCTCGAAGTGAACTCATGAGCTGAACTCTGGTGCCCAACCTTTTGACAGAGAAGGAATTGTGGACACAGAGATGTGAAGACACTTGTCCAGGTCAGACAGACCTTGTAAGCAGAGGGACTCAACATGTGAACCTGAGTCCACCCAAGTTTTTAACCTCAAAGAGGAGGAAATAGATAAGCTGAAGTTTTTTTTTAAAAGACAAAGTATAAAGTGGTATGTTTCAGAGGGTTTTTAAAAAAAGGTGGGGAGGATATAAATACATCCACACACATAGGGGTGATATATTCTGCCTCTCAGGAGACCAGCGAGCTGTCAAGGAGGAGGGGTGCTGCCCCTGCCCCCCAAAGGTGGGGGTGAATCTATCAGCTTCTTTCATTTTCTTTAACCATGGCTAGTATTACCTATAAAAAACAAATTTATTGCTTAAGATAAAAAAAAATAAAACTATGAACCAGGCAAAAGTGGGAATGGAAAATCCCAGAGCCAGGAAACTGCCAGTGAGATTGGAATGGGGTCCGCCTGATTCCAGTGCTCTCACTCACCCTTATTTTGATATGTGAGAGCCTTAATCCCCCACCAGTCCTGGATCCACCCCTCTCCAATTTTCCATTCTGGAAAACTTTGCCATGTGGAGGAAAGAGGGTCTAAGTTATCCCCTTTGCTGAGTGGCTCTACTTCTCAGAACCCACCTCCAGCCCAGAAAATCAGAACTCACTGGGTTTTATAGAAAAAGTCAAAGTGATTAAAAAAAAAAAAGGTCCAAAAATCAGGACCTGGAATTTGGCACAGGCTTCAAACCAGAGAGCTGAAAGTCAAAACAAGAGGAAGTGAGCTTCTCATCCCTAGAGGTAATCAAGTGTCATCAGCCTGGCTGTTGCAGACCTTGCAGGTCAGAGGCCTGCTGTCCTTTCACGCATCCAATTCCTCCCCAGTAGACTCATGCCATCACCCCCTTAAATCAGAAAATTTGTGCCCCCAACAGCCTCCCTAAACTTTCCCAAACTACCAATCTTGGAAACAGCCCTGGATAGTGAATCTAATCTAAGGTCCAAGGGGCTGGGGCAGGCTCAACTTGTTCTTCTCCCCCATGGGCATCAGTTTCCCATAAGTGAAGAGAAATGTAGAAGTCCCCACCTGGGTTTCTTTTCACTTATCTGTATTATCTAAGGATTCCTATAAGAAAGCAAGTTACTAAGATGCATTTGAAAAAAATGTAAAAGGTTTTCTTTTTCTTTCGTAGCATGATAGTCTGGATTTGACCCTGGGCAGATCTGCCTTCAAATGGAAGCTTGCCTACTTCTCACCTGCCTTAGTCAGCAAGTTGCTTAATTTCTCTGAGCTTCTGTTTTCCCATCTGTGAACTTGGGGGTTAGGGGGAGGAAGGGCTGTGGTATAGTAACAATCTCTTAGAATTGCTGTGAGGGTTGAAATGGAATCAGACATCTATTTAATCGTAATTGCCTGGTACAAAGCGGATGCTCAATCAAATGTGCGGTCTCATAATTTTTGAGGGAAAAAAAACCACCCAAAACAATTACTACGATGGAGGGGGGAGGGCAGAGTGGACGCAAATTCTTCTTGAGCCCTTTCTGCCCCGAGATCCTAGGACCTCTGCCCTGCTTCCTGTCCTTCCCAGGATCCCAGCTCCCGAACAGAGCACACACTCAACAAATATTTGTCAAAGTGGGAGAAAAAGAACTATATCTTGTAATTTTCCATCTTAACATTCTGTCTTCCAGCTGCCCCTATGACTGTCCCCAGCCCAACTGGCCAGAAATCCAGAGGATCTGGGTCTCCTCCCCTCCCTCAACTAGCCTAGGAATTTCTGAGGTGTCTTGAGCCAGGGCCTCTCTTTGAACCTCAATTTCCGCATCTGGATATAGGCACATGGGTCCTTTTGAATACTTGCTGACCCCAGGAGAAGGGGCACAGCCCAGGAAGTGGGGTGTGGCCAGTGGGGCAGGGAAGACCCCTCAGGAGGTGTTAACACTACGGTGGCCCGAGCAGGCAGCCCCATTTCAGTCCACCCCCCAGGAGGTGTGAGGTCCGGCCACAGCCCGCTGCAGGGGGACCCTGTGGGAGGGCCTGCGCCTCCCAGGCAGGGGGTGGGGGGGCCGGGAAGAGGCCGGCCCAGGCATTGCTCCTGCCCTTTTACGGTCTCACAGTGAGTGAGGCAGCACTAACTCGGACATCCGCCATCCGCCTTCCACAGTCCCAGGGACCGGAAACGCGGGGGGTGGGGGGGCGGGGCTGGGGGCGGTGGGAGAGGAGCGTCCCTCCTCTAGCCCCCCCCCCCAACCCCGAGGAGGGCGAAGGAAGAGAGCCAGGCCTCAAGAACTGCCCCTCTCCAGGTCTGCCCTGAAGGAGATACTGCTCTAAGGGGGGGAAGGGGCAGCAGGAAGTCATGGGGCTGTCTGAGTGCCCCCGGCTCCAAATTTTCCAGCCATCCCTTTTAAATCAGAAGGAACCAACGCTGGAGAGGGATTCTCAGTCATAAAAATGCCTGCCACCCTTAAGTCAAAGGGCAGGGGTACTGGGAATGTGAGGGAATGGGGAGGATGTGGGCACCAGGGGGTTAATCCCCAGCAGTCCCCAGGGGCCTCCCCCTCAAGCTGGGGGCTTTGGGGCAGGAAGTCCCAGAGAGAGTGGAGGAAGGGAGATAGTATTGTCAGGCTCAGGCCCCAAGGGAGAGATTATGGGGGGCCAGGAGAGAAGGGGGGCAGTCCGGTCCCCCAGTCCGCACTGGCCCCGCCTTCAGGTGAGCCCAGGAGTTTTGAGAGAGGCCCGGGTAAAACAAAATCCCAGGGTCCCTTGGGCCCCCACCCCCAGGATTAAATTCCTGGGAAGCTAGCTGGAACTATCTGGGAAGCCTGGGTCCCGGGGGGAGAGGGCTGTGACCTTGAAGCTTGCCAGCGCCCCCTCCTCCAACCCCGCAGCTCCGGATGGCTGGGGTGGGGGGAGGACAGTTAGAGAAGGGGGAGGCGCCGCGGTGGGGAAAGCAGCCGGCCCACAGCGCTCCTAGCCCGCCCCCCCACACCAGCTGTCTCGACAGGTGAGTCAGGAAGACAAAGGCCCCCCTTCCCCCAGCTGCCGCGCCCCCTCCTTCCCCCAGGGCCGCGCAGGTGGGGGAGAGGGGCCGCCCTTCTGGCCCCGGGCCGGGAGCCGCCCTCCGCACAGAGCGCTCGCTCGGTCCTGGGCTCGCTCGGTCCTAGGCACGGGCAGTTTTAAGCAGATTGTGGGTGCGGAGCGGCGGGGGAGGGGAGTACCAACCAGACCCTCGAGGCTGCCTCTGGGTCGGTCTGCAACAACCTCTTCCACAGGAGGAAAAGAGCCCCCCAAATTTTGGGGCTTGAGTGTCCCCAAAGTTAAGGAGCAAGATCCCACTTGGGGAGACTTTCCAGTGCCACGTAAAACAGGGCCCCCGCAAACCAAGGTCTCCCAGGGACCCCCTCCCCAATGCCCTCCCCAATCCTCCCAGGAACCAAAGTTGATATTTGAGGGAGTATGAGACCTTCCTGAATCCTGGCCTCTCAGCGGGGAATATCTGCCAACTTGGAGGTCCCCTGGAAAGTCTCTTAAAAAATCGGGACGCCTCGGAGCGCCCCCAAACCTGAAGACTCCCAGGAAAATTTCACTGGCACCACCCCGAGCCTTGGGAGTCATGGAGAAGTGGTCAATATTTGGAGCCCATCCAATGGGCTACGACCTCAAATTCGAGGCTCCCAGTGGCCTGTCCCCAAATTCCAGCCCCGAAGGAGTTGGGGGGAGGGGGACAAAGGCGGGGCAGGGAGCTCGCGCCGGGAGGGGAAGGGTCTGGAGGCAGTTCGAGGCTCACCTCATGGCTGCTGAGCGTGCGGGCGGCGCGCCCACGGGGTGGCTGCTCCCGGGGCGCCCCTGGCTCGAGGTTCAGGGGTTCGGGGCTGGCTCCAGTTTCTGCTTAGTCTCCCCCAGGGTCCCGCCCCATAGAGTCCGGCTTCCTGGGGGGAACGTGGACCGGGCTAGGGCGGGTCTTCGGGCGCCTCCTCTCTGTGGGGGTTTGATCGGGGATCCCTGCGGCAGAAAGGGGGTGCGGCGTCCCCGTCCCGGCGCGCCCCCTCGGCCGGCGGCGGCTACAATGTTACTCTTACTACTGTACTTCTCTTCGCTACATTTGGTTCCAAAATTCCACTCCCCGCACCCACAATGCCCTGCGCCTTAAAGGGGCCGCGTACTGCTCAAGGCGGTGAGGTGTGGGTGCAGGGCACTTAAGAGCAACGCGGAACGCTAGACTTCCGCTATCTCCCTCTTTCCCAACGTTACTGCATAGGGACGCACCCCCAAATCAAGGGGGAGGCTTGGTGGAGGGAAACGAGTTCTTCCTTGGGCCCTGGTTCTTTCCCACGAAGGCCTTTGACCTCAGTCCGGGCACCATTTCTTCTCACCCTCCTCATCGACTTTTCCATTTCTTTACACCCTGCTCAATTTGGGGGAGGGGGGGAGGATCCCCTGGGTAAGTATAGGTGCTCTCACATTGTTTGCCTTCAGTCCTACCTTCATACCCCTCCCGTCAACGCCTATCAATTAAAGAGGGGTTACTAACGGGTGAATCCTCTCCTCCACTCTAGGAGATGGGTGGGAAGGCCCCGGGCCCCACCCCTTTCATTGCCCCCACCACCCCCCACCCCCGCCCGGGGAAGGTGATGAGGAAGTGGGACGAGGGGGCGCGGCCGACAGCTGACTCACCGCCGCAGGGGGCGGGGGCGGGGGTGGAGGTGCGGCGCTGGACCTGGGTGGGGATGGTACTACGGGATCCTACGTGGATAAAGTCCCTGGCCCCCTCCGCTCGCAAGCCACTCCGCGGCCACTTAGTGTCGCCCGCGAGGATGGCGGGATCCTCCAGCAATCGGAGGGTGCCAGAGCGGACCCTCCCTAGCCGCGGCTCCCGGAGCCCCCTCCCCCACGCGCTGGCAGCGGGATGTGCCCAGACTCCCTCCGAGGCTTCCGCAGTGGGTCCCGAAGTCCCGCCCCAAGTGATGTCACCGTGGCCACGCCCCCTAGCGCGGGGGCGGCTGCGGCCAGAGCCTGGGAAGTCATCAGTTCATTCACAAATGGGTAAACTGAGACCTGGAAGTAGAAAGGAAATCGTACTATGGCCCTCCTGTCTATGGGTGGCTCTTGGGTGCAAAGTCAACAATTCTCAAGACCCAGTTGACTAGGAGAGAGAATTGACCTTCCCAGGCTTTGTCCAAGTCTGGTCCTCTGCTTGGATCTCGGTTCTCTGCGTGGATCTCGCCCTGACTTTTCTTCACCTCATCCTTAGACCAGCCTCTGACATTCATTCTCTCCTCTTGCAGATTCTGAGCCACCTGGGTTACAATTGCTTGTCTGTGCATCTTCGTTGTCTGTGAGTTGTTTGGGAACAGGGACAAACCTGGTCAATTTCCTGGTCCCCCCCCCCAACCCAGGCCAACCAGGGGCAGCAACCAATGGAATGAAAGCCCTTGTGCTGTGTAACCTTGGACAAGTCCTTTCTCCTCTCTGGGCATCAGTTTTCCCATCTGTGAAGTGGGAGGAGTGCAACTTGAACTACAGTCAGCAAACCAGATTTATTTATGTATATAAGCAGTGGGGTGCAGGCCAGAAGTGCAAGGGGTGAGGATTCACTAGAGACAGAGTGGAGAGTAGAAAGACAGATTGAAACATACTGCTGAGGGGAGCAGCAAGGAGACAGGAGAGGTCTGGTGTGCGCTGTGGGTCAGCTGCCTGGCCGGGGATCAAAATAATGCCACAGTGGCTGTGGATAGCTTGACAGCACTGAAACTTTAACCCCTGCACCACCAGGGAAGCCCCAGTCAGCAAAATTTATTATATAGAGGTTCATGCATATTCTAGGCATGGGCACAGAATCTCTTTCCCCACATTATTTTTTCCTTTTTACTACCTTTTTAAAAAATGTAAATAGCTAAATCTTAGCTCAGATGCTGTATGAAGCAGGCAGCAAGGCCCCTGAGCTGGGGAACTCACAGGTGCACACAAGGAGGCTGATTGAGGACAGCAATGATAGAGCAAGATGGTAGAGGAGGCACAAAGTGCGTAAATGCCATGAAAGTAGTCACTGATGGGTTACTGAGCAAAAACAAACCCAGAATTGCCCAGTGAGGTCTGGGGTATGGAAAACATCAAGGAAGCTCCTAAGGTGCCATAGACATGCATGAACATACAAAATAAGAGTCCTGGAAAAGTCCACTCCAAAGTATCGCAGGATTGGGGGTGTGGTGTTAAGAGCTTTCACCCCTCATTTTGAAAATGCCAACTCTGATCCTGCCTCCAGGCTTTCAAAATGGCTATTCCCTCTGCCTGCCTTAGAATGCTCTTCCAGGGTACTTCATGGCTGGCTGCTTTTCTGTCCCATCTTTGCTTATTTTCCTTATGACACTTGTCAGTGTAGACGAGCTGACCTTTAATATTGGTTTCCTTGTTTGCTATCACACACATGCACACATGGGTGGGGGTAGTGCAGGAATCTCAGAGGGCCTGGCTGGTTCCTGGCTGTGACAAGCCCTTGTATACAGCAGGTGCTCAATACAGACAACTTCCGGTATCCCCTCAGGTTCCAAATGCTGGATTCAAGCAACTGCGTGCTGGTGGGAAGCTTGGAGTTAGGCCTGTGATGGAGGCAAGTATACAAGACAGGTACCGGCATTTTCCTTGTCATTACACCAACACAGTTTAACAACTGTGTACACACAATATAGCAACTGTGTACACACAGTATAATAGTTATTTACATATCCTTTACATTGACTCAGTAAGTAGCCTGGAGAGGATTTAAAGTACACTGAAGCTGGACCCTCCCTGGTGGCACACTGGGTTAAGCCCAGCGCTAGGAAGTCAGCAGCAGCAGCTTCTGTACCAGTTGGATCCCCACCCTGGAGGTGACCCACACCGCTGCTGTGGGTCCTGTCTCCCCGCTGCTCCCCTCAGCAGTGTACTTCGTCGATCTGCCTGTTCTGTTCTCCACTCTGTCTCTGGTGAACCCTCTCACCACCCCTGCAACTCTGGCCTGTACCCCAGTTCTCTATGCATAAATAATATATAAATCTTTTTTTAAGAAAATAATAATGTACACTGGAGGTGTGTGTTAGTTACACCCAAAATACTGTGTGATTCTATATAAGGGACTTGAGTATCTCTGGAGTGTGGAGTCTGTGGGGGTGCTGGAACCCACCTTTCTGGGTTACTCAGGGAAAACAAACCTCATACATTTGCCAACAGATCAGCCAAAAAAGATTTGTTTTCTTTTTTCTTTTTTGAACTGGGGTAAGGCCAGAGTTGTAGGGGCAGTGAGAGGATTCACCAGAGACAGAGTGGGGAGCAGAACAGGCCAACTGACGAAGTACGCTGCTGAGGGGAGCAGCCAGCGGGTCAGGAGAGGTCTGCCGTATCATGTGGGTCACTCCCTGGCCTGGATAGAACTGAGCTGAAGCTGCTGTGGCTGTGGCTATCTTTGCAGTGCTGTGCTTCAACCCCTTGAACCACCAAAGAGGGTTCTGGCTCTGGGTTGTTTTTTTTTTTTTTTTTTTTTTCAATAAAAAAGGGGAATTTTTTAACTTCCCTCCAAAATGAAAACCAGAAAGGGGAAAGAAGGCTGCTGAACTGGGTAATCCTCAGGGTCCGCTGTGCTCTAGACACTTAGAATGTTTGGGTTTTGGGGCTTTTATTTTGGTCTAGATGGTGGGTAGAACCTCCCCTCTCATGAATCTGTGGGAGAGGGAAGTAGAAGGGGAAATAAGCATTTTGAGGTTCCTCCATCAACTTTTCTTTTTCCTGCTGGTCTGTGTAGCTGGAGAAAGAAAGTGTTTCTCCATAGTTCTTTGGAGGCACAAGTTGGGGGAAGGATCCCCAAAGGTTGACAGATGCCAGGTCTCCAGGTCCAAGAGAGAGTAAGGGGCAAAGGGCTTCCTAGCCCCATTCTCTCCTTCTGGAACACAAAATGTGGGAGATGTGACTAGCAACTTCTCCTTGCCCTTGGCATCAGCATCCCCCACTCTTGTTCTGAAGGCACCACCCGTATTCCTTTTTGACCATTCTCCATTGGGTGGAGTAGACCCCAACCCTAAGCCTGTGGGCATGTGACCCCTGTCTGGCCAATCAGGGACACAGTACCTAGGCAGGAGGGTGGCCAGTGAGAATGGGCTCTGCCCTGAGGAAATCAAGTTCCTAGATTGCTAACCCAGACCCCTATCTCTGCCACCTCATACGGAGACCCTGTCTGGGAATGAAATCAGCTCAGAAAAAATGAAACTAAGGGCCAGTTCTTCCTGATGACACAATGTGACAATTGCCTGCAGTCATGCCTTCAACCTTTCTAATGACACCACCCAGAAAATTCCCTGTTTTACATCACCAGGTTAAGTTGCTTTTTGTCACCCAACTCCAGGAATCCTGACAGACACCACCTTCTGCAGCTGAGAAAGCTGCAATCCCCCTTCCTCTGTGTAACGAGGACCTAACTTCCTTCTCTGCCATGCAGAGAACTTCATATTCTGTCCCCAGCTTCCTCCTCCATTTTTTTTCCCTAGCCCCAACCTCATGCCTTAGTTTAAGAGGTTCTGCTCACCACCTCTTTAGACAGCTCCAGAATTTCCTTGGCTTTCAGGGTTCAATTCACAACCTCTCTTATCCTCAGGTCCTCAAGCATTCTGCAGGGTATTCAGGCCTGGGGCTGGTCATCTACATTCCTTGCATTTTTCTTCCTTATTCCTCCATGGAGGGGGTAGTGATGTTACAGAACATTGCAGGGGCAAATTTATTGGCAAAGAAAGTTTCTCCTATGTTTCTGAGCCCCTCTGTTAAGCCTAGCAAAAGCCTTTAAGACCAAGAGAATTTCTTAATATATCAGGCAGGTCCTTGTCCCCTCCAGCCTTAGTTCGCTGTCATTAAAGAGGGTGGGTGGGATTGGATCACCTATTTCTAGGGGAAACATCCAAGAACACAGGGTCCTCGCCTCCCAACACGAAGTCTGGTAGAATGAAGAATAAGCTTCAGGGATGACTGTGACTGAGAAAGACCCTCAGGGGGTGACCCTCCTCCCAGCACCCCACTCCATCCTATCCTATCCAGACTCACTTGCAGTAGAGCCCTCCCCCAGGAGGTAAAGTCGGGATCCCCTCCCAGGCCAGAGTCCTGAAAACTGTTCAGGCTTCGGGTTCCTGGGCAGAGGCACAAAGCTCTGAGAAGAAGACAAGGGTTATAGGGGAGACCCTGCTTCCCAACCACCCTTCCTCTGCTCCTGCGGTGCCTGCTCACCCGCTACCCTGCTAGGGCCGTGTCCAGCGCTAGCTCCTTCCTGTCTCCTCGCAAGGCCTGGGCGCCCCTGAGAAGCGGACTAGGACGCAGGACCTGCAGTCCAGGCTACCCTGAAGATGGAGAAAGGGAGCCCCATGGCACACGGAGGAAGGCCCAGCATGGGGCTCCAAGGCCGTGGAAGCAGGGCTTCCCAACAATTCCCTTATTCGAGTGCCCTGCATGCCAGGCTGGTTGTGCTGGTTGTGCGCATTCCTGAAGCCCCGCCCCTCTGCGGGTCTAAACCACGCCCCCTCACCCGAAGCAGTACCTTAGACCACCGCCTCAGTCCCAGCGCCCTAAGATCAGAAAGCCACGCCCTTCCCCAAGCTCCCCTTGCCCACTTTCTTCCTGGCACAAAAGATAAGCTCGAGACCCACTGCTAAGTCTCAACGCCACCCCATTCCGTTCTCTTAAATGTCTACTTCCAAAGCAGCCGGCCTCGAGGCATCCTCAGGCTCCGCCCCCTGTGGGCCCAGCCCTCTTCCAGCAGGCCACGCCCCCTGAGAAGGCAGCACCTCCTCTAGCTTTTTCTCGTCTCTCCTTCCAATCCCCTCTTGCCTATGAGTCCTTAGGTTTCTCTCCAAAGGTCATAGCCCCAATCTCAGGACCTTGCACAGACACGTGTTCAACAGCTGGGCGCAGAGAAGCTCTGCGGCCAAATCCTGGCCGAGACGCGATGCCACTTGTCTCGCCAGGGCAGCGCGGGACATCGCGTCCCTCACGCCTTCAGAAGCCTGGAGCGTGGCGTGCCAGGGCGGTCAGGGCTGAAGCTCGGGGGGGGGGGGTGGCCTTCACGAAGCCTCTTGGTAGGCAAAACCTCCCAGTGCTCTAGACACTGCCAAAGAGCCCTCGAGTCGCCTGTGGCGGACGGTGCCGCCCGCGTCGCGGATGCGCTCTCGTTCCGATGGCTGGAGGGGCCGATGGTCCTCGGTACTGAAGGCCACAGCTCCAGTGCGGCTCAGGGCCGCGCGAGAGTCACCGCAGAGCGCCAGGTACAGAAAGCGCGGGGAGACGAGCGATGCCACCGCCGTGGAGCCGCTGGGCTCGCCTTGCGGCCACAATGCGTCCAGGCGCTCGTCTGCGCTCTGGAAGGTGCTGCGTAGCGAGCGCCCCACGCACGCTCTGGGGTTCTCGGGGCTCCGGATCTAGCGCCTCCAGCACGGGTCCTGGCAGGCAGCGAGCGCCGTGAAGAGCGGCTCGTCTCCCACCGTGGGCGTCAGCACTGTGAAGAAAGCCCAGCCCAGGGGCAGTCCGGGTAGTGGGAGCCACGCACAGTGCACGTCCTCCTCCTACGCGCGCCAGCCCTGCGCCGCGTGCGCAGGGAGACGCACGCCCAAAGGTGCCGCCGCACCCCCGTGCGGCCGCTGGGCGCATCGCGGCGCGTGCGGAGGGACTGAGAACTTGGTAAGTCCCGACCCCTTCCTCCTCCTCTTCCTCTGTCTCCGCTTCCTTGACAGCAGGCTAGAAGAGACGCTCCAACAGACGGGCAAGGGTCGCTATCCTTTGGTCCCGGGGTCTGGGAACTCTCTGTGCCTGTCCCCCACCTCGCCTCTTTAATCTCCACTGTGAGGTTTTAAACCCTCTGAGTCTACACTCAAGTTGAGTCACTGGGCGGATTAGACTCCTGGGTCTCCTTTCTCTTGCGCCTTCAAAGTGATGTTTGGAATCCCGTCAGGGTAAAATAATAGTAGGAAACTGACACTATGTGCTGCTGCACTCTTATTTTGTATCATCTCCAAATTTCCGAAGGAGAAACTTAAGCCACAGAAGTGAACAGCGTTGCTGAGAAACGAACTCCAGAATCCGCGTTAGCTTCGAGGCCCCAACTCCACTCTGTCCTCCCAGACTTCAAAATCTTTTAAGAACTTTAGTATTATGATTATTTTAGTTATCCCTCTTCTCTCTACATCTTGTTCCTAGGATTCAACTGCTTCTGTAACAGATTCCGGGCTTCCCTTCCAAATAATAAAGTCAGCCTCAGATCAAACATTCTGTCTCAGATCCACCCTAGCTCCGCCTCTTACCTGCAGACCCAGCCCACACTCACACCCGCCCAAGCTAGTGGTCTTCCCAGTTTACACTCACCTTCAGGCCCCGCCTCTCCCCTCCCTCTAGGCCACGCCTCTAGCCCCCTCTATCGCAGACTGGTCCTGTCCAAACTATCTGAATAACAAACTTAGCTTAAGCCCCTCTCGTGTCTGTTTCTCCCCTTGCCTCAAAACTTTCTGAGGACTCTAAGTTTCTTTCCGTCTCCCTTCCCACTCTCTGAACCTAAGCTCGGGCCTGCTTCCGAGCAGAATTTTTGCACCCTCTCCTCAATGCCGCGCCTAGCCCGGGCCCGGGCCCAACCAGCGCTGAGATCCAAGCCCCACTCCTCACCCCACCCAGGCTCCGCCCCTTTCCCTTATGGGCGGGCCTTCCTCAGCTAGACTCCGCCCTTGAGGCCGCCTCCCTCGCCGTGGCTCAGTAGTCTGCACTCGTAGCCACGCCCCTCTAGTAGGAGAGCCACGCCCCTCGCCGGCTCCTCGGGGTTTCCCCGCCCCCTCGCCCTCCCTCAGGTTCGGCCCCGCCTGACTGCTGGCCCCGCCCCCGGTCCCCGCGCTGCAGTGCA